ACTTGAGGCATCCTGGAGGAAAGGGGAGGGTGCTCAAGCACCCTCCGCCCCCCCTGCACGTGCCTGATCACCAAGGTAAAACATGCAGCTCAGAGTTCTGGTGAAGCGTGGAATGCAAAAGCTACGAAGCCGTTTGGGTAACAACATCTGCTGGCTAGTCAAGTGGCCCATCTGGAATCTGGCTTCTATCTGGTCTTATCTCCCGTGCGTCAGATGCACCATAACGCCAAGCAGAAGGTCCTGGTGATGGAGTTCTGCTCTGGGGGCAGTCTGCTCAGCCTGCTGGAGGAACCGGTGAACGCCTTCGGGCTGCCCGAGTCGGAGTTCCTTATCATGCTGCAGTGTGTTGGTATGTAACATCCATCCATCCATCCATTTTCTAATCACTTATCCAATGCAGGGTTGTGGTTAGTTTCATTAAGTCCTTTATAAAACAGCTTTGTATGAAAAAATTCTTTCCAGGGATCAATAAAGTACATTCTCTTTAATTGCACTTCTCTTAGAGAAAACAGCATTTTTTTAATCAGCAAGAACAGATTCCTGGATGCAGACTGGAGCAGGACGGCTGTGGGAACCATAGACATAGTGACAGTCTCTCATAAGTAAGGAGAGACTGGGATCAGAAATCAGGGTCATGACTTATCATCTGGCCTTTGGACTTGAGTCCCCTTAATCCAGACCCGAAACCCACGGAGCAACACATCAGCCTATAATCTGTGAATGATTTCATGAGCTAAAGCACTGAAGAACCTTAAGTAATAGAATGTAGGATTTGTGCCCAATTCCACCCAATCATAGGAGAGAATGAAACCCAATAGAACAGAAGTACTTCACTGATCGCCAAAGTGATCGCATGGTGCCAGTTGTAGTTGTCGTGTCCCGTGCAGTTCATGGCATGAACCACCTGCGGGAGAACGGCGTGGTCCACCGTGACATCAAGCCGGGCAACATCATGCGTCTGGTGAGCGACGATGGCCGCTCTGTCTACAAGCTGACCGACTTCGGCGCCGCCCGTGAGCTGGAGGACGACGAGAAGTTCCTCTCCATCTACGGCACGGAAGAGTACTTGGTGAGGGAGGTGGGGAGAGGGAGGTCAGAGGTCGCGGCGCGCTGAAGGCTGGGAAAGGGGATGGCTCACAGCACCGGACCGAGGCTGTCATCATGGCCTATGCAGGCTGTATCATTCAGATCACGAGTTTGTTTTTATATCATTGTTAATAATTCAGTTACTACTGAAGTACAAATCATGAACAAAAACAGTAGCTCCTTGAGATAAGAGGTGTGATGATTCATTAATGATGAACAAACATGATATCAGTGTTTCACATGTATTATTCATTACTTGTTCCTTCAGTAGTTTTACTTCATTAGTTTCTTTACTTGTCAGTTCATAGAATTAACAGGTATAGTAACTAATATAGTAACTGCTTGGGATAAAAGATGCATCATGATTCATTAATGATGAATTAACATGAAATCAGTATGTAACGAAGACTTTGTGGTTAATTAATACACAAGTAAGAGCATCGTGTATTTGTGCCCCCTAAAGTAAAGTGTAACTGTGAAGTAAAGTGTAACTTAATTAATCCGTCCATCTTCTAACCACTTACCCTGGGTAGGGGCTGGATTAGAGCCAGTCCCAGGCAGCATAGGGCACTGGTCCCGGGGGTACCTTGGATGGGTCCATCACAGGGCAACACATGCACTATCAATTGTTACACTCTGGGCAATTTTAGAGATTCCTGGATGGGCTCCAATACCCCCCCCCCCACATCACCCCGACCAGGATAAAAAAAATTTTGGAAATTCTTGCTTTGTGAAAGTGAAAATGAAAATGAAGTATAGTAATACAACAGCTCTAGTATTCACAGTTCACCAAACAATGACCTTTTCTGTGGAATGTTCTTGGGGTGCTTTTTCTACGAAGAGTGAGGAGAACAGAGAGCTGAGGAAAGTCCCTGAGCTCCCTCTCCCCGTGTCCGCAGCACCCTGACATGTACGAGCGCGCTGTCCTGAGGAAGCCCCAGCACAAGGCCTACGGCGTCACCGTGGACCTCTGGAGCATCGGGGTCACCTTCTACCACGCAGCCACTGGCAGCCTGCCCTTCGTGCCCTACGGGGGCCCACGCAGCAACAAACAGATCATGTAGGCTGCTCCTGTGCACTGCTCGCCAGCGCCCCCCACTGGCACTCATCCAGTCTTTACAAGAGTGCTCAGAACTCTTCAGCAACTACCAGCTCAGTTGTCATTTGTGGCTCCCGCTGATAAAACCTTGTTCGGTTTCCCAGAATCCTGTTGTGTATCGGAAAGCTCTTTGCTTATAGTCTTTGCCATGAGGTGGGTACATGGTAGGGGCACCTTTTGCCGGCGCTGAATAACTAGGGCAGTTCTGGCACCTGGTCTCTCCCCACGTCAAGGACTACTTGTAGTTGAAAGTCTCCGTAGTCCGTGTCACCGTAGTCGATGGTGGCAGGCCTGAGGCAGCAGAAGGTGTTCTCTGTTTGATGCCCCTTAGGTACAAGATTACCACTGAGAAACTGACGGGGGCCATTGCTGGGGTACAGAGGGTGAAGGACGGTCCCATCGAGTGGAGCTACCAGCTGCCTTCCTGTTGCCAGCTCTCCGAGTGAGTGCCCCCCCCCTCCCCCCCAGACATTCTTCCCTCCCTTAGCCTCTTACTCTCCACCTTCAGTGACCCCCTCCCTCCTCCTTTGGCTCTCCAGGGGCCTCAAGGCCCAGCTGGTCCCAGTACTTGCTAACATTCTGGAAGCCAACCAGGATAAGTGCTGGGGCTTCGACCAGTTCTTCGCGGAGACCACGGGCATCCTCCACCGCGTGCCCGTTCACGTCTTCTCCCTTCAGCAAGCCACCATGCTTCGCATCTACATCCACTTCTACAACACGTGAGTCCAGACCCATGACCTACCTCTGCCTTACAGCAGTGTTTCTCAGGCCAGTCCTCAGGGACCTCATGACACGCCACATTTTTCCTCTCTCCCAGCTCCCAGCACACTTGAACCAAAAAATCAACCAATCAGAAACACCAATACCCGGTACAGGTGTTTTGGAAATTGGGAGGGAGCAAAACTGTGGTTTGCCTGGGGGTCCCCAAGGACTGCACTGAGAAACACTGCTCAGTGTTTGTTTAGCATACTCTTTTATCCATAATAATGTATGATTGAGAAACTGGGGTTGGATACTCCCTGGAGCAATGGGGGGGGGGAGGGGTGAGCCTTACTCACGTAACATCACTCTGCTGACCATGGGATGTGATCCAGCAACCTTCCAATTACAGGCACACCTGATGACCCACACATCCTCCCCAAAAGAGATGTACAAGCAAGGCAGACAGTATGTCAGAGAGTTTGGTGAGTGGTTAGAGTGGGGATGCTGGGCATTAAACCCAGAATGTCATGCATGCAAAGCATGTGCTCTACCACTGAGCTACATCCCCCATGGAGACAGACGTGGCCACTGTTAGGGACCAGGGATGCCTAACAAAAGTGGATGTGTACTATTTGCTTATTAAATGAGTGAGAGATTGTGGTTATGCTAGGGAATATTACCCTTGTAACTGTGCATGGATGGTACAGTCACTGCAGCACAACCTGTTCTTGGCTCAGACATCTTCAGGGTTGAACATGCAGTGTTTGCTTTTTTCCGTTATTGACTTTTCAGAATTTAATGTGCACATAAACGCTTCACCAACTTTTAATGGAGTAAACACTGAGTATGATCCGTCGTGGCGTTGCTATTTTTGTCGATGCCGTAATAGATTGCAGTGTTGTAAATTGCAGTAGAAATCAATCGTTTTGTCATTAAAGGTCCTCATAGATTATGTGGTTCTCAGTAATTTACATCAAAATCATGACACAATCGAATTACATTGACTTTTATATTTCATATTATGTCTTCAGACCTGCATTGTGATGATAGTATGCAGTGTAGTGTTTTTGTAATGTCACCTTTGGATTTTTCACATTATAATATAGAAATGTGTTCCTATATGTTTCATATTCATATAAATGCTTGTGCACTAGTCAGAAGTAAATGCATAGTATTGTCATTTATGTCCTGGTCTACATGTATTTTTTGTTGTAGCATCTACGTATCTGAATAAGACTGCATGAGGAAAAGTAAATAAATATCTCTCTGGATGAGAGTATATGGCTATAAACAATATATAAAATATAAATGGATCACAGTGTACACAAGTATAATAGTATAAAAGTGCTCCTCTCTAGCAGTGAAGTGTCTTGAATCTGTGTACATGCACTGTCATATGAATCTGTGTACACATCTCTGTGAAATGAATCTATGTACATGCAGTGTGACATGAATTTAAGTACATGTCTGTGTCACATGAATCTGTGTACATGCAGTATCACATGTAGGAAGGAGCCAGTGAACCTGTTTAGTTATAAGGGGAGTTGTGTTGTCTCTGGGCAGAGCCTCCAGGGTTCAGGCTGGCAGCTGTCACTCGGCATAAGCGTTAGGAGGCGAGACCAGAGTCCTTCAGAAATGTGGACTGTCTGAGGGTCTCCAAGGACACTGCACTAAAGTAGCAAAGCAGCAGTGCTCCAGAATGAACTGTAACATAAGAACCAGGTTTGTCTTCTGGATCCATTCCTCTAGTCACCTTCCTTCTGCCGCCTCATTCCAGGGCTGCCATCTTTTTCGAGGAGGTGCAGCGACAGACCAAGATTAGCCCTGAGTTCCAGCAATACCTCTTCCAAGGACACAGCCTCATTCTGGAACCCTCCATGAAGGTGGTCAACTTTCCGCCGACCACGCCAGGTCGGCCCATCTTCCTACTCAGCCGCCGGCCGGAGAAGATAGTGGGACTGACCTACAAAGAGCGTAAGACCAACACCTGCCCGTGTTCTGAGACTAAGAGACTAAGCTGGAATGCAGAGCTTGGCTAAGACTACAGTCAGGTGGATAGGCTTGAGGAAGCTTTACGGCTGTATAGACAACGTCCTTAGGACCAGGGGGGCCACCAAGCAGCCCATAAGACGATCACAGCTGCAGGCCTAAGTACCTTGATTTGTGTTCCTTTCTTCCGCTGGCAGCTGACATGCCGAGCATGCCTGCGAAGTTTGACGTCATAGCCGACTCCAGCTTTTCGAAGGTAGGCCATCGCCGAGCCAGACCACGGGTTACGTCGTGATCTGTATCAGAGGAAGCCAAGTCTTGTTTTTCACATTGTAAAGAGAACCTTTTTATTTAGAATGTGGTTGACCAAGCAGATATCAGGTACGGCAAGCCTGGTTCTCAGGAACTGCTTTTGGACAATCAGGAGTCTCATACGACTTATTTCAGAGCTGCCTGTTGATCACTTGTATACCAGCCACATGGTCTCTTTTCTAGGCCGTCCTGGGCATCATCCACCAGTACTTAAGGATAGGCCACTCGTTACAGAAGTGTCAGGAGCTGATTCTACAGGGATTCTATTGCTACTTGTGAGTATGGGAGCACAAGAAGAGGATGACGCATGGTGTTCCACACTTCTCCTGTCACCCACGTAACATCACTTATGGTCTGTTTTTAGGGTAGACAGATCCTGACTCCTAGAACCGTTTATCTTCTGCTTTTGCTACAATTTTTATAATTATAACTGGCATGTAAAATAAAAATAGTAACATTGTCAATATCATGTGCTTACTTCCAGATGGGATGTCTAGAGTTATTGGTTTCATTTTTTATTTTTTCGTAGAGCTTTGTGTTTTTTTTGCTAAAGCAGTTGAGATTAATTTCTTGCTCATGGGTACAGTAACACTGCCTTGAATGTTTAATGCTCTCCCTACTGCTCCGTTCCTAAATGCTTTATATTTGCTGCTGCATCAACACCAGGTGCTACATACATAAAACTAACTGCAGTACTAGAATTGTGTGCTGATCAGTGTCGCATGAGAGCACAAACTAGCTTTGTTAGCATTTAACCAAGAGCCTGGCAGGTTCCTCACCTGCTGTAGTGCAAATTCTGTGCCAGTGGGAAGAAAGACCCTGTTTTTGACTGCCTGGTTTGTGTGTCCATTTCCAGCGAGATGGTCCTTACAGAATGCAACAACACGCTACACAAGATCAGCATCGTCAACATGAAGCTGGTCTCCTGTCTGCAGGTGGAGGACAAGCTGTCCAAGCTGTGAGTGCGGCGGATTACCTGGTGGTGGTTGTAAGCTGCATATAACAATCCTGCACCAAAACATGCGATGATTCTGTAGCTGCTCTCTTTAGTGCGACCCTCTGCTTGTGCCATTCCTGTTTAGAATAAGACCCTTTAAGCATACATGATAATCAGTTAAAGTCCAAAGCAGTGCACAAAAGCTCAGGGGCTGGGAACTGGGTCAGCCAGGGCCTTGTGTTGATATGATCACTGCGGTGGCCATGGGATGTGAACCCACAACCTTCTAGCCAAGAGCACTAATGCCTAACATACTGAGCTGTTCACCTGACCTGCTTTTCTCGGATAGGGGTTGGATAAATCTGTATCGTCATCGTTGTTGGAGCCATCGGCATTCCCGCTCCTCCCCCTGCTAGCAAATTTAAAATTTATTTAGGGGCCATTCACACAACAATTAAGAGAGAACCCCCCATTCCCAGGTCCACAAAATATATTAAGGCGGACCCCCCTCCCTACATAGGAATTCCCATCAGCTGCACGGCAGAGATAAAGCTGTCCCATATCCTCTCCTTTCAGGGGCCAGTCTTCTGGGGACCTGCCAGACCTTATGGACAACAGGAAGAAGCTAAAACTGGTGATTACACGCCGCACTCCTTGTCGTGTGCAATGGGAGTCCAGCATTCCTAGGCCACGCACTCGGAGGGATGGGTCATGTGCTCCTCCCTGGTAGGGTGACATGCTGGGCTGGAGCTGGTACTGATCTGGTGGCCCTGGTTCCTCAGATGCAGGAGGACCTACCCGTGTACTGCAATAGCATCCGGGACTTTCACACCAAGCTGGACCACCTGCACGTGCAGCTGGCGAAGCGCATGGAGATACTGGCCGAAGACAAAAGGTAAGGCATGTATGTCAGCAGGCCGTGGCCAATCAGAATGGGCTGTGCAGGGGTTAAAGGTCAGCAGGACAGTTGGATGGATGCACTGCACAAGGAAGTGGTTCTGAGATGGATGTTAGCACATTTCTGGTGTGTATTTCAAACAGTGATGTCTTGCTTTGGCTGCCATCCCATGCAGTGTGTATTCTCCTGCCCTACGCTGCCTGGGATAGGCTGCAGGCCCACTGTGTCTCTCTCCAAGATTAGTGAAGAAGAGGATGGATGGATTTGTTACACTACTATGGCTGTTTTCTTGTCTGACTTGTCATTTAATGAATTTACATGTATACTGATAGGTATTTATGGACCAATTTTGTCCAAACAGTGCCCCCTAGGGCACAACAAGAAAACTCCTTCTGGGAGTCAAACACAAAGCCTCTCGGTGTCATCGCTGCAGCATGTGGTTGTGATGTTAAGGCCTGGCAGTGGAGAGCTGGGGTACTTAAGAAGATTCCTAACAATTAATCTCTGACCCTCTCTGTTTGCCTCAGCATGCAGAAGATGGAGGTCTTGCTGGAGAAGATCACGCAGGTGCACCAGCAGTACAGGAAGGACAGAGCTGCAGGCAGTAAGTGTCCCTACTCCACGGTGCATTTTCTCTCCTTAGAGGATGGTTTTTAATTGAAATGAGACCCTGCTCCACAGCTAAGCCTGCCAGGGGGAGATTAGACGATCACACCACTGGATTTACTGCAGCTATTGTGCCGGGAAAGCAGTGCGGCTACTGCCTGCATTATCTGATAGTAGGAAAATGAGAATTTCAGGCCGGCTCCCTGGAGCGCAAAGCGCATGTGTCAGCACGTAATGCCAGAGAACAGTAAATTTCACCCTCCTGAGATAAGCTCTTTTCAAACTTTTCCGAACATAAATGTATAGCAAAACAGCAAAGAACTTGTGCTTCGTTTTCCTTTCCCGTACAGAGCTGAACTACAATGATGAACAGATTCACAAATTTGAGAAGTAAGGCTTGGACTTTGGATGTATTATTTTTAAAAGCCAGTAGCAGATATGTTTGGATGATTGTGCTCAAAATCACCGGCTTGTTTCTCGCGTGGTTCTATTCGCAGGATAAACCTGTCCAACAATATCAAGAAGGTGAAGTCTCTCTTCCGGGATGTCTGCTCACAGAAATACCACGATGTCCTGGCCTTAGCTGGATCCTGGACCAGGTTAGCGCCGTTGAACCTACAGCCAGCTTGTTTGCGGTGTGGGATTCCATTATTTGTTAGATTAATGACCAGTGCATCATTCTGCGGCCGTTCCCATTCTGCAGCGAGCTCCATGAGATCCAGATACACCTAAAGGACTACAGTGTTTACTTCATTCAGATCATGGATGACCTACATGTGTGTGAACAGTGCCAAAACAAGGTAAACTACCCCAGCCCTTAATGTGT